GGAACGCCCCCGCCCCCACGGTGATACCGGTATTATCGGTGTTGTCACACGTCGATTAACCAGTGGGAAAATTTCCTCACCGTCACAACCCTATCGGCCACTTCTTTACGACATTTAAACAGCTAACGATGCATGTGTTGACTGATGCCAATAATTAGTCATTATTTATTTTTTATTTTATGGTCCAACACCAATGTGGCAGTATATATTATACCGTTACTTTCACAGTAAATGCTTAAAGGGTTAGTTCACCATTTATAATGGCAGTGAATGGGTGTTGAGATTTTGAAGCCCAATAAAGTGCATCCATCCATCATAAAAAGTGCTCCACACGGCACCAGGGGGTTAATAAATGCTTCTGAAGCGAATCAATGCATTTGTGTAAGAAAAATATCCATATTTAAAACTTTATAAACCGTAATCTCTAGCTTCCTCTAACTGTCGTACACGCATTACGAGAGAGTGGTGTTCAAAATCTCTTCCTTGGCGTGAGACCTCGGAGTAACTCCTCCAATTTATCCCTCTCGCTGCAGAAGAGGAGAATATTAAGTACACATAACCAACAATATTGGCTACAACCAAAACCCTAGTAGCTCCATACTAGAAGGATTGGATATCTCCATAAACTCCAGATTTTGATAGATAGACATACTCGTCTTTCAACGCGCCCTTCTTGCTAGTTTCATCATCTTCATCATCATCATGCTCCTCGTCTTCAGGAGTGCCATGTAAATATGGGTTAAGAGGTGGCGGTCGCCAGATAGATCCGTTCTTAAATATTCTGAAGTCTTCTGTTTTCCATTTTGTTGGAGATTCGCCCTGTGAGTGGAGATATTTTTTTATTTTACAGCTGAACACATTTCAAGATGTTTCTGACATAAGAATAAAAATAAATAAGACTAACCTGCAATATGGTGTATAGCTTCCACCGGTAATAAACATGAGCAGGACTTTGATTTTCAAATAAAAACCTGTTGAATTTTAACAAAAAACAACGTTTGATTTAAGGACATTATCAGAATACAAGTAAACTCTAAAAATCACACGAATGCAATCGGAGTTATATAAAAAAATGTCCTTGCTCTTCCAAGCTTTATAATGGCAGTGAATGGGTGTTGAGATTTTGAAGCCCAATAAAGTGCATCCATCCATCATAAAAAGTGCTCCTCACGGCTCCGGGGGGTTAATAAAGGCCTTCTGAAGCGAATCGATGCGTTTGTGTAAGAAAAATATCCATATTTAAAACTTTATAAACATAATATTAACCCCCCTGAGCCATGTGGAGCACTTTTTATGATGGATGGATGCACGTTTTGGGGCTTCAAAATCTCAACCCCCATTCACTTCCATTATAAAGCTTGGAAGAGCCAGGACATTTTTTAATTTAACTCCGATTGTTTTTGTGTGAAAGAAGAAGTCATATACACGTAGGATGACTTGAGGGTGAGTAAATCATGGGCTAATTTTCATCTTTTGGGTGAACTATCCCTTTAAATCTAATATCGGTTCATGCCGTATATGACCAACGTATTTTGTGTCCCTAATGATAACCATATCAGCATCACTTTTATTTGGTATGTGGTTTACAGAATACAAGATTATGAGGAACTGGCTTGATGCCTGGTGTATCAGTATTGCAGAAACAGATCTAAACATTCCTTATATGCATTGATATTGCTGAAATCTGCCCCGAATTTGTGCATCATTGTGCTTTGGGTACCAAAAATCTCAAAATATAGCATTGGTGGAAGCGCAGTGCAGGCAACTGACCGAGCGCGATTTGTTCAGTTGTGCTTAGGGCTGTAAATTCTGGAGCTGATTATTAAACTATAGTAACTGATCATTTGTTATGCTATATCTTATCTTATGTATACATGCTAAGTTGTTTTTTTAATGCACGCGTGTGGAGCACTTTTTATGATGGATGGATGCACGTTTTGGGGCTTCAAAATCTCAACACCCATTCACTTCCATTATAAAGCTTGGAAGAGCCAGGACATTTTTTAATTTAACTCCGATTGTTTTTGTGTGAAAGAAGAAGTCATATACACGTAGGATGACTTGAGGGTGAGTAAATCATGGGCTAATTTTCATCTTTTGGGTGAACTATCCCTTTAAATCTAATATCGGTTCATGCCGTATATGACCAACGTATTTTGTGTCCCTAATGATAACCATATCAGCATCACTTTTATTTGGTATGTGGTTTACAGAATACAAGATTATGAGGAACTGGCTTGATGCCTGGTGTATCAGTATTGCAGAAACAGATCTAAACATTCCTTATATGCATTGATATTGCTGAAATCTGCCCCGAATTTGTGCATCATTGTGCTTTGGGTACCAAAAATCTCAAAATATAGCATTGGTGGAAGCGCAGTGCAGGCAACTGACCGAGCGCGATTTGTTCAGTTGTGCTTAGGGCTGTAAATTCTGGAGCTGATTATTAAACTATAGTAACTGATCATTTGTTATGCTATATCTTATCTTATGTATACATGCTAAGTTGTTTTTTTAATGCACGATATTGCTACTCGTATGTAGAGAGAAAGGTGGCTGATAAATGTATCAAAATACAGTCTGTAAATGTGAAATGATAGCGAATGAGGGTGATTATGACCAAAATCTAAATTTATATCACAGTAGAGTCCCGTTCACATCAAGAACAATTGGATGCAAACCAAAATATAAGATCACACATAACAAATGAATCACACATTAAATAGCACCTGACTTAAAGACAGAAGATTTAAAACATTAAAGGTCTTTCTGCTGATTCTGTATAAATGGTGTTGAATATTTAATGCCGACATATATCTACACACTCTGTATACAGTAGACCAATCACAACAGACTGGGCCATCTGACCAATCAGAGCAGAGTAAAATGAGGTGATATTAAATGCATATTTTGAGAGAATGAAAGCGTTGTTTGACCTAACAATATAAGGAACCCTAAAAATGGCATAATAGGGGCACTTTAACTGAAATAAAATATATATATATATATTTTTATTTTTTTAATTTCAGCTAGTTTCCAAGGCAGCATTTCTTTTTCATTTAGTTTAACTTGATACTAAATAACTAAAACTGAAATAACAATTAAGAAAAACTACATAGGCATATTTAAAAACAACAAAAACTAATAAAAATTACAAAACACAACAAAATGACTAGAACTTTAACTAAAATTAACATGAAAGCAGAAAATATATAAAAAAATCAAATTCAGAATATTAACAAACTGTATAGTAAATCATATCAGATCACATCTCCACTAAAATAATCAATTATACACTGTACATTTTAAATGTTATAATTTTTCATGCTTTTACAATTATATCATGTTGCTTTTTTTTTTTTTTTCAGATTTATAATAATATTATAAGTGATTGCATTCACTAGAAATATTTAAAGTGCATATCCAGTAAAATAATGTACTGTACAATAAATCTAATCTACTGGTCAAACCAGGCATTATTAGGACAAGCACATATTAGCCCCAATATACATTATATTCAGTATTATATGCAGTAGCCTGATTTCACAGGAGTTTTTTTTTTTTCAGATTTTGTGGTTCTGGTCCTCCATGTGCAAGACAATTGTGACAACAGCATAGAAATACGCATAATGCTGCTTTGCTAAAGAATACACACTTGTGTTGATTCAGTACTCTGTTTATTTGGACCAGCTGACTCCACTGAATCACAACCTGTGTGCATGATAAATAATAGATGTTTATACTTTCTATTGAGTGCTCAAAATACGGAACTATGGCAATGGACGTATTGTTTCCGACACGCGCTGTACACAGTAGACCAATCACAACAGACTGGACCATCTGACCAATCAGAGCAGAGCAGGCTCACGGAAAGGAGGGGTTTAGAGAGACTGAATCTTTAAAAACAACAAAAACGAATAAAAATTACAAAACACACAACAAAATGACTAGAACTTTAACTAAAATTAACATGAAAGCAGAAAATATATAAAAAAATCAAATTCAGAATATTAACAAACTGTATAGTATATCATATCAGATCACATCTCCACTAAAATAATCAATTATACACTATACATTTTAAATGTTATAATTTTTCATGCTTTTACAATTATATCATGTTGTTTTTTTTTTTTTTCAGATTTATAATAATATTATAAGTGATTGCATTCACTAGAAATATTTAAAGTGCATATCCAGTAAAATAATGTACTGTACAATAAATCTAATCTACTGGTCAAACCAGGCATTATTAGGACAAGCACATATTAGCCCCAATATACATTATATTCAGTATTATATGCAGTATATACAGTATATATATAGTAGCTTTAATAGTATCAATAAAACCTCTAACATGTAACTATAAACAAGACTGAATCGTGTCTCTCTGTCACAGAAGGACAGAATAATTAGATTTCCTCTATTATTATTGTTGTTGTTAATGGTTCAGTGGTAGAGACCACCCTTTCTGTTCTTTTTCCACGACTTTGACACTTCCACCCTTACTCTCATCGTTCTTCGCGCTCTCTTCCCCTTTCTGTAGGATGTATTGGTGAAGGTCATAAGGAAGGAAGGCTTCTTCAGTCTGTGGAAGGGTTTTACTCCATATTACGCTCGTCTCGGGCCACACACAGTTCTCACCTTCGTCTTCCTGGAGCAGATGAACAAATTCTACAAGATCTATTTCCTCGACTCCTAGATTGTGACCCTTTGCTGTGTTTGTAACTCAAGACAATGTGGACTCTTATATTGCACAGACTGATTAGCTAAACTGTAAATTGTATTGAATGAAGGGATCATTGACAACGCTCATTGTAGTTTTGAATGATATTTATGTAATTCTACTCTCATTTGGGGATGTTTGCTAACGTTGAGCACAATTAATGTTGTAAGGAAGATAATGTGGTGTGTGTGAAGGCCAACACTACACCAGACGGCTTGTTGTGATGTATTAAATGATGTAACGAGGTATTTGAGCAGTCATTTTCTGGTCTGAGGAGCTATGAAAGTAACTAGACACAACTTGATATGTCCTTCCTAGTATATCTAAGGTGTAGTATTTTTGATTTTTTGATGAAGAGCAGTATCCAACAAAGAGCCCAGCTTTTTATATAAAACGAAATCCCGCGGTTGTGGCTTTCTTGAAGTAAAGAAGCTATTAAAAAAAATAAAAAATGGCCATTGTGGTGTTTCTCATTTGCTTGCTATGCAGGAACAACAAACAAACGCACAACTCGTCCATTAAATGAAACCGTTTTAAACGAGGTAACCTGAAAACATGATAATTAAATTGTTAAATTTGTAGTTGTGCTGCTTGGTTTCAGGTTTCAACTTTTAAAGCAATGGTTTGACTCGTACAACATGTCTGTAGGCACCAAAAAGAAGTAACAAAGTGATATAATTGGTCAAATATTACTTGTTGGTAAAACAATATGAGAAACTGAAAATAAATTACCATTCCAGAATAAACTAAACACTGGATATGAATCACAAAATTATCAATACACATAATATGCATCCCATCCAAAGCAGTTTTGTGCAAGTTTAGTTGTAGTATTAATGGGCAATTATTAATTTACGAAACTCTTGAGATGGTGTAACTGCTGTAAAGGCCATATAACTAATGCTTTACTGAATCCAAAGTGATGATAAAGCCTGTGTGCAAAAACAATTCTTTGTTGATAATCGTACGCCTGCAGTTTCTTTACATTCGAGCGGATTAAACCAATGACGTCACTGCTGCGTTTGGACCACATTACCCATAATGCCAAGCGAGCTTCCGGTGAAAAATTAGACAGTCCAAAGATGGCGGACCTCCTGGGCTCGATTAATTTTATGATATATTCTGATTCATCAATGTGCAGAACAAGCAGCCAGACTGAAGAATATCGAGGAGGATGAGAAGAGAAAGAAAGCAGAGTTTAGGAAAAAGGTATAACTGCATCTCTCGGTCTCACATAAACTGAACTGGTTTATGAACATGAATGTGTTTTTCCGTCAGATGGAGAAGACGGTGTCAGACTTCATTCAGGACAGCAATCTGCAGAAGAAGAGATATGAGCCCATGGGCAAGCTCGAGAGAAGCATCTTGTGAGTTCAGCGCTGTCTTTCTTTAATTGCAAGTCATACATTTTTTTATGGTTTTAGTTCTAGTTAACTAGTCTCGCAGACTGACGGTAGAAGGTCTGGGAACCTTGGCTGCTTTGAATGGCCAAGACTAGAGCCCGACCGATATGGGTTTTTGGGGCCGATACCGATATTAGGGAGTAAAAAAAGGCCGATATCGATATATCGGCCGATATTCTTTGTGTATATTATAGTACAGTACCAGTCAAAAGTTTGGACACTTTCCCATTCGTGTGTTCACACATTTGACTGGTACTATATATAGAATACTACAGTATATACATAAACAGAATATATATACATAAACACATTTTTTGCAATGATCACTCAAATGTGGTGACCAAACACTTATAATGACGTGACAGAGATACGTAATGATGGAGGCAGGGTATAACCAAACACTTATAATGACGTGACAGAGATACGTAATGATGGAGGTAGGGTATATAAAAATTTAACAATAAACTTTATTATCCAAAATGAGTCTGACATCAGTGCACTGAACAGTAAAGTTGAAGTTTATTCAACTTTTTAATTAAATTCCATTCAACTTTATTCCGTTGGAGTTTATTTCACTTCGGAACATTCATTCACGGATTTGCGCTACCGTCTTCACACACAGACGAAACATAATACGTGACATAATATACCTCTGTAAATAAATACAATATAAATTCACGTCTCGTGCACTTTAATGCCCTTTGAATGTAATGTGTACGTTCCCTTGGAACTGGAATCATGGCGGAATTTCATGTGAAGTCCACTTCGCAGGGCACTTACGGTCGAATAAGACCACGCTTGCATGCTGCTGCCAAGACACCTCCTTACTGAAGGGAAAGTGTTGACTGGTGTCACTATCTCGCGAACGCACCGGCGGATCTCCACCAAATTCGTGGGATCCCTTCAGCTCGAGGAACCCTCTCAAACGCCACCCTCCACGCGTCGGTAGCCCCCCGGGAGCGCCGGACCGCGAATTTAACCACCCGTAACTCCCGAACCCCGGGTGCTATCGACGGTGGTCTCATTCGAAAGCGGGCCTCTAGACGTACACTCAATTCACATTCGAGAGGGTTCCTCAAGCTGAAGGGATCTCCCGAATTTGGTGCGGATTCGCCGCGCCGTTACGGAGATATGGCCGTATAAAGTTCAAATGGTTTTCCATAGACTTAAGCTTTAAAGCGTTTCATCCAGGTCGCCAGTAGCAAACAATGGAGCGCGCTCTGCTGGACAAACTAAGTAATTACACCATTTCAAGCATTTTATCTGCATTATATGTTCTGTAAAAAAAATGTT